GCATTTTTTCGTACTCACAGGAGGAAATATTTTCTAATTGCAAAGAACGCAGATAACAAGAAGGAACAACCCGTTGTAATTGTAGTGAAAGTGGGCAACAGGGGTGTGCGTTCTCTTTTGCTCTGGTAGGTTTTTTAATTGGATGAAAAGAGAAATCACGCCCCTGTTGCTCTCTTTCGCTACAATTATAACGAGTTGTCCCTTCTTATTATCGAAGCTCTTTGCTAATAGCATGGTTCTGTTAACTTTTTCTAAAAAATCTCTAAAAGGGGACCATAGCCGCACGTATTTTTTTAAAAGGGTTAAGAAATCAAAATTTTCATAAAGGTTGGGTCAAAGGGTATTGGCGCTTAGAAAGAGTCCAATTTCCCTTTTAGTCGCATAACGGCAACACTGACCACATATCAAAACACTCTCATCGTCTTCTTGATATTGTCGCCACAGCAAAGAACGTATATACGTATCTACGTTCTTTGGTGTTAGGTCAAATCTAAATTCGCCCCAAAATTTGCATGTATTTTGTTTTTGCTTTTGATGGGTATGCTGTCAAATCAGTGAAAGCAAAAACAAAATACATGTAAGGCGAAGAAATCAGTTGATTTTACAATACCACCTTGTATAAATTCGCCTTGTTTGTTTCGCTGCATCGTGTCCATCATCTGGCAAGCAAATACAACAACAAAATCTCAAAGTGGACCATCCATACTGGAGTTATGCGCAGTCGTACGTACCTAGCTTAGGGTTTACACCGGACAATATTGTCAAGACAATTATGTCAAAATTATGTGTTTGTTGTAATATGAATTCGCCGTGTTTACAACAAACACATAATTTTGACATAATTGTCTTGACAATATTGTCTGACGTAAACCCTAACTGCCATACCTAAACAAAAGCGTCAGCGTTGTCCGGCTGTCAAAAAATTCTCATGCCCATACAANCGAAAATCCGATTTTGACAGGGCGTTAGGTATTGAAGTTAGCTGCAGAAAACGGCGAAGCTGTAATTTTCGTGTTTCACACAAAGAAACCTATACTTATTGTTGGTGTTATTTCTGCATTTGACTTAGCGTTGACGCTTTTGTTTAGGTATGACACTTCGGCGGTAAAGCTAGGCGTCAGAAACCGCTCCGCTCAACGCTTTTGTTTAGGTACGGCAGTTAAGTTACCAAAGCGCCATGTAAATGGAAACTCAACACCGCAGATTTTTTCTGTAGTTGTAGCCCGTAGCGCAGGAATCTGCGAAATTTAGATTTTTCCGCGTCAGCTGATTTCTTCCGTAACTTCAGACAGAGAGTGGACCTGTCTTACTCTCTTTTTTGACCTCTCAATAGTGAGAGAACGTAATCGATTTCGAGTAAAATCTGACTGATCCTGATTATTCCTGACTAGTCTGGACTCGTACGGGATCGCAGCTGTTAAAACGTATACGATTTTGTCTATGTACACCGAAGGGTTAAATAGTTATATGTCAGCTGTAAAAATTGCTTTCAATTTGGCCAAAAATTACTTGGAGGAAATTCTGTGATTTCTATATTTTTGAATAATTTTTATGCATTTTTGGGATACTTTGGTTATAATATCACAATGGAAAAACGACAATTGCGAGGAAGTGTATCTAAAACGGATGATTGGATAAAGTGCCAATCAAAAAAGCGGCCAGGCCAATGGTACATGTTCAACAAGGCAACTGGCGAAACCAAATGGTGCAGTGAGTTTGTGGATAATGACGCCAAGCCGACTAGCGTTGCTGAAAAAGGAAAAGCACAGTCACCACCAAAGTGCATAGGTAATACACTCAAAATATTCATTTCCGCAATTATTGTATGCTAAATATTTATCTAATAAACAGCTAAACCGCTCCGTACTCCTGCCCAAGATCGTCTTAAACGTCTGCAACATAATTTAAAAACGACTCAAAAGGATAAGTTACCTCAAAAACAAGCGAAAGCGCGGCGAGGGAGAAGTCAAGACAAGGACATCGGAATTGAGAGAGAAAATAAAATTGATGATTCCAAGAAAGCCCATCTTCAAAAAGACAACAAATTGAATATAAAATCTAAGCCATCTGAAAGCAAAATAGATGTGCAAAAAGATTTCCAACCATCAACAAGCAAAAGTGCTTTGTCAGTTAAAATGGAAAAGGATGAGAATGTGGCAGCGAACACTACGCCACAAAAATTGAGTTCATCAAAAAAATCGAAACAAAGTTCGCCGAAAAAAGAAGTTAGAAAACGATCATCCTCCAATTTTGACATCGAATCAATAACTATACCCCAGAAACGTGCAAAACAAGAATCAGAGTCTAAAGTGGAAAACACGCCCAAAAATGAAGAAGAAAATGATGAAAAGGATCAAAGTCAGCGAACAACTGGGGCTCTCAGTATTGGTAGTGGCATTGTAAATAAAATAAAAGCGATATGCAAAAGTACCTTCAGCAGTTATTGCAACGCCAAAAAGGCTTTGAGCCAAAAACCTTTAGAGCCTTGCATTAAGAAAACTAATTTTAAAATACCTAAAAAAGAAACAGTTTCACGTGCCACAAAGGCTCGAGCTTTAAAAAGCAATGAGGAGTGCAGTGACAGTGACAGTGAAATTGAAAGTGATGCGACGCCCAAACGAAAAACTGCATCCAGCGCACCAATTGCCATCGTAATGAAGGGCATTGCCACACCAAGTAATGGGAACCCATCGGTAGATTTCAAAGCATTTGCGTTAACTGCCTCACCATCTCAATTATTTGGTACACCCAGTAGCCTTGTAGTTCCCACCTATGAAAGGGGTAGTGGTAAGCGAAACCAACTGACATAAACAGCCATTGTTATCTACATACATACATGTTTAATTTATTACACATTTTTTTAGCTAATACGCGTCTAGAACGCTTGCGCAATTCCCTACGCCAACATGCCATCGACATTGGTGAGGAATCGTCTACGCCAACGCGGCTGTGTGCATCTGCTTGCTCTTCGGCTTTGGCTTGTGTTATACGTGATAATACAATGGCAAAAAACAATCCGGCGAAAGTCGATGATGGTGAGTCCATACTCATATATACATACATACATATATAATATAGAATGAATTATATACATACTCTTAGAACCAATGGATTGGATGCCTATAGAAGATTTAAAAACTGAAACCATTGAGATATCTAGCAATGAGTCTAGTAATGCAGAGGTTAGCGTGAGCGGAAAAGAACCTGAAACCATGGGCGAATATTATGGTACCGTAAATGAAAATCTTTTACGTTATGCTGTAGAACAAAAAAATGGCGCGAACACAGCCGATGGAAAGTGGCTTAATGATTATTATTATTTTGTATTGGACACGAATGTGCTGCTACGACATCTAACATTTATTGAAGAATTAAGCCACATGAAATTATGCGGTTCGTAGGCGTAATACAAATTAAAAGAATCATATAAGTATGTTTTATTTTATCTCGCCAATCTGATAGATACCAGCGGTACTGTGCTCTACTTACCATATAGCGTATTACAAGAGTTGGATAAATTAAAGCAATTTGCAGTGGGAGATGGCACCAAAGTGCTGGCGGTGCGCGCTATTAAATACCTGAATGCCAAATTTGAGGCAAAAAATAAGCATCTACAAGGTAAATATTCAATATTTGTTTTACGAAAACATATGTACTATGTATGTATATACTTGTGATTTTAAAATTTGTATGTGGTTTTATTGTAGCACAAAGCGCTATTAGCGAACGGGAACACCTTGTTGAAATCAGCTCACCAGATGATCGCATTATCAACTGTTGTTTGCAGGCAAAACAACACGTTGATCACGTTATCTTATTGACAGAGGATATAAATTTACGCAATAAGGCTATTTGTAATAATATTTTAGTTTCCACGAAATCGGATCTTGTTGTCAAGCATACGTAGAAGTGGATCGGAAAAACTGAAGTTATCAAGTGCCATTTATTGCCTACTAACAATCCAAATTAAAAGTTGATCTAACGAGATTCAGCCTGTCAGGAGATTCACTGTCATATTTAAAATGTTAACTTTCATAAACAGCTAATAATTATTTGGAAAGAGCCTTGCGATTTTCCTTAAAGGGTCCTGGGTCGTCGATAAATGCAGATCATTCAATTTGTGTGAACTCGATTTTCATGGCAATGAATTCGGTCAATCGCCGCCGCAGTATTTACTTCAAACGCGCATCATCTTCCCAAACATCATACGAATATACTTTGTTAAATAGTTCATTCGAAACAAATTGTGATATGAAAACGACATTTTTGTTGCTATGAAATACTTGATATGAATATTAGTGGTAAATTAGTCGTAAATTTAGTTTGTAGTTTCGTTACAAATGAATACTGAAGTTTTCTTTTAAATATGAATGTATGTGCATATGTGCACAAAAATTTGATATTTTTATACTTGCAGCAGGTATATGGGTTTCATGTCCCACTTATTAATAAATCTGAAGAAGTTTTCAATGCAAAAACGCTCTTTTATTGAATATCTTTTTGTTGTGTAGATATCACTTTGGCAAATATTTGCACAAAAACTGAAGTATGCGGGTAGTAGAGGTATACGCCGCCGNTTTTGACGACAGCGTTTATTACAGTTAAATTAGGGTCGAATACTGGTAATCTAACGATTTTTTTCCGCAGTAGACAATTCTTTTCTATACTACAAAAATACTACTTTTTTATACACCTACTACAACAACAAGAAACTTATAACACATCAAAAACTTTAGCTCCAATATCTCAAAAAGCAGTTTTAATAGAAGCGGCCTCTTTGTATCTAACTCCTCAATTATTGAAGATAAATCAAAGACATGTTGATTTTTC